GAGTCAGTGGACACTCCTTTGTTGTCATCTAACCTGACATTTCTGTGGCATTTGTCACAGCTGATGACACCCTCCTTAAGAACCATGATAGCACTTTCTCTAGGTGGTTCCTTCTACCCTTCTAATTATTTCTTCTCAGATTTCTTAATAGGTTCCCTTTCTCGGTATGCCCATTTAAATGTTGTTACTTATGGCTCCATCCTTGGCTCCTTGCCCTTTGCACTCAATGCAACATCCCTGAAGGACCTCATCTTCTCATGCGCCATTTTTTATGTACATCTCAAACCTATGCCTTTTGCTCAGTCATCTCTGTTGAGCTCCCGTGGACAGCACCACCCAGCTCCTGCGGACGATACCTCCCGAGATTTCTGAACTCAACAGGTTTCAAATGTGATCCGTGATCTTTTCCCCAAAACCTTTCCTTCTCTTGAATTTTTAACAGCATCACCACCTTCACAGTCACCTGAGCCAGGTACATGAGGGGCATCTTAGACTCTGCTGTCTCTTTCATCTCCCAGATGACGTTCTGTTCATTCTACCTACTTAAAGTTAACAACAGCTCCTTGGTTACTTCCACACTAGATCACTGCTACAGTCTTCTAGTTTGTCTCCCCTACGCAGTTTGGCCATACCCCATCCATTCTCCTCATTTTTGCCAAGTACGTTTTCTAAAATACAAATATTTATTATTGATTATTGAATATAGCAGACATTGCACTTTTTTTGGTATTATCTCATTTAATTTTCAAAATATCCTTAGAAAGCAAACACAATTATTAGTGTGTTTTGCAAATGCAGAGATTGAGGTTCATGCACAGTAATGGATCCAGGAGCAAAATGCCAGAGGCCACACTCTTAAACACCTCTCGGCTCCATCACATGCTCAGATTCTCTGCATAGAATCTCATAACTTTTAGGATAGAGTTCGAACTCTGTAGTTTAGCATATAAGGCTTTTACAATGTGGCTCTGGTTTATGACTCTGTTTTCATCTCCTCCACACACACTATTTGCTGGAGCCATTCACGGCGGCTTGTGCCATACCTGAACACCTGGTATTTGTTTTTTGGAACATCTGTTAAACATATGATAATTTACTGAGTGTATGCATATCACCAGTGTGCTGCTCCATTAATTTTGAAAGTAAACAAACCAGTGTAACCAGCACCCAGACCAAGAAACAGAAAACCAGCACCCTGAAGAGACCCCCTCATGACCTACTCCTGTCACTACCTCCCCACAGGTAATCATCATCTTGACCTTAACAGTCTACCTTATACTTACTCAACTATACACCTTGGGGATTTTCCATATCAGTAAGAAAGGCCTGCAGGCTATAGACACGGTGTGGACCACACCAGTGGGTTTTGGCCTGTTTGTGCTTAGTACTTAGCACCTGGTAAGCTTTCAGTAAATGTTGCATGAATGAAATAGTTACATGAAGGAATGAATCATATCCGCAGGTTAACAGGAAAGGCCCTTCTTTTCTTAGAAACTCTCCCTTTACTTTATGCAGAGTTCTCCTGCCTGAGTAAGTAACCCGGATCTTCCTTCCAGCCCTACAAACAATTGTTGTTTCTCACTTAATCCTGGGACAGAAATAAATTGGCTCCAGAACTTGAACGTGGTACAATACGTTCCCAAAGACATATGCTTTCTATAAGAGAGTCTGGAATCCAAAGTACATTGGGAGAATCCTGGAAGGATGTATTGACAGATGAAAAGGGAAAAAAAAGAAACAAACTGCGACAACAAAGAACAATACCCTGGGGCTAAGGAGTGGGGGGAATGTTGGTTTTGGTACAAATAAATGGGTCCAATTAATGCATGTTGGTGTTTGCTATTTTGGTTTCTGTTTAGATTCATGTTTTGATACCAGACTTTTCTTGTGGAGCTGTTCAAGTCAGCAGACTGTTGGGAAGTGGAGTCTTTTCAGTCTTTTCCATCAGAATAACACATTCCTTACAATAGGCCATACATGACTAAGCCCTGTTTGCATGTTAGGTCATGGTATAAGGCACTTTGAAGATGAAAGACTGAAGCATAACTACTGCAATTGCAAATGCACAGATTAATAAAGTAAGTCCGAGTCACTGTTCTTTCCTTCATTTTCTAAATCTTTGCTGGCTGTGATTTTAAGACATCAGTTCTGGTGAGAGAAGACAGTTTCCTTACACCATTCCATCTCAGCCTTTGCAGCAGAGGCTGCTGAGACCCCTTTGGAGGAGTGCACCCCTGGGAGAGCTCTTTGATGTGTTGTGATTGTCTTCTATCACTGGGGTTGCCAAAAGAAGGGTTTCTGCTGCTGCTTCCAGTTTCCAGGTGCCCTCTAAGAGTTTGGGATCCTGATTCCTCCTCCACATGGTGCTCCTCCACTCAGTTTCTCTTTATTTGTGATTCATTTGTCCCTACAACAGGCAAGGGGCAGGTCATTCTACAACAATGGACAGGGCCTTGTAGAAGGAAGACAGTTCAATAGGAGCTTTGGCCTTAAGGGGGTACTAAGCCTCGGAAGCACCCAGGCTGACACTGAAGTTGGCCCTTGGTAATGGCTTTTCTCCCCCCAGGAATTAGTAACAGCACTGCCACTCCCTCTGAACACTTCATGTTTCATGTTTTATTCCCTTATTCATCCATTCAACAAATATTTATTGACTAACTACTGTGGGGCCAGACACCATTCTAAGCATCAGGGATTCATCAGTGAACCAAAGAGAGAAGAACCCCTGCTGTCACAGAGCTGATATTTTAGCAGAGGGAGAGCGACAGTCAATAAAATCAGTAAGTCAGTGGGTAAGTAAGGAAGGTGGTGAGCGCTATGGAGGAAAATCAGGTGGGAGAGGGTAAGCGACAAGCATCACTTTATGCAAGCCTTGGAATCTATGAAGTAGGCAGAAGCCCCATTTCACACAGAGACACAGAGGCTTAACGAGGTGGAATAACTTGTCCAAAGCGGCGGAACTAGTAAGCTGTAGGGTTGAGGTTGAAATCAAAGTCCCTCTCGCTGCAGAGCTGTAACCGTTGTACCTTTCATTCCACATACTGCCTTTTCTCAACAAAGTCTTCAAACGAAAAGCATTTTTATCAGCATTCATCTCTTAAAACTCTGTACTTTTGGTTCTTCAGAAACATCAGCCAGTCACCAGAGCCTGTGGGACTTACTTTTACTTACGGTTAATCCCATTGCAAAAGGTTTCCATGCTGCTAGAGCCCGTCGGCTGTTCAGCTTGACCTCTCTGCCTCATTTGCTGCAGTTGATGGCTTCCTTTTTCCTGAAACTTCCCCCCTGCCCTCTACTTTCTAAGCCCTCTTAGCTTCTCTCCCTCCTTGGAGGGCTCCTCTTGCTCGACTTGCTCCATGACAAGCTGTGTTCCTGACTGCTCTGGCCTCTGGCCCCTGATCTTCTCCCAAACATCCTCCCTGGGTGGCCCTGTCCCTGTCCATAGTTCAATGCCTCACACATGCCAGTGTCCCCAGATTGCTAACACTGGCCCAGGCTCTGCTGAGCTATCAGGCTGTCTCTCAGGCTCCTACATTCAACAAGTCTAAAGTGCAAGTTTTCTTCTTTTCCAGTTCTGCTTCCCAATGGAAACAATGTTAACACTGTCCATCCAGTCACTCCAAACTAAATGAATGGCCCTAGACAGCCTCCACTCATTTACGGCTGCATCCCGTCAATCCCCGTCCTGTGGAATCCACCAGGCTTCATCCCCGTCCCCTCGTCCCTTGGCCCTACTTGACCTTAGACTTTCATCCTCTCACCTTCCCTCCCCAGTCAGTCTGCTCTTGTTTCTGTCTCATGCACTGCTGCCAGGGTGAACTTCATAAAATGTAAACTGGTTATATATTCCTAGCAAACATCCAATGGCACTTCAGTGTTTCTGGTCAAATGTCAAAACTCCAGCCCTCTGGGATCGAGTTTCTGCTTATCTGTGTCTTCATATTCTTCTACTCCCTGCATGTCACCCTTAGCTCCAGTCATTTGGAACTGCCTGTACTCACCTCAATGTATGATGGCATTTCATTACTTCGGAGTTCCTAACTCCTGCTGGTCTGGCAAAATCCAACTCCCCTGGGAAGCTTTCTCTGACTCCCTGACTGAGCTATTCTTCTGTGCCCTCACATTCCATCCACCACACCACTTATCTCTTCTCTCCGCAATCCTCAATTTTCTCATCCATCTCCTTAAAAAACTGTAAGCTACGTGATATAGCTGTGCTTTGGCAGGTAGGGAACCTGGTTTGTCTCTATATCTTCCTTAACCGCAACAATGACTAGCATACAAAAGAGCCTCTCAATCATTGCACACTGTCAGATGCAATATACAGACTGCCAAAATCAAGTTTGTGTTTTTGCTTTACAGTTCATACCAAAATCTATCTCACTTGAACTTATGGATCATGTTTAGCTAATGTTATGCAAATATTGAACCGTATTTCACAGCATGGAGTATGATTGAGAAAAAGAAAATATAAACAATGGTTTCAAATAGTGTTGCAAAGAGGAATTCCAGGATTTGTATTCATTTAATCAACAAATGTGAACACTGAGATATTTTCCTCTTGTCAGAAATGTCCTTAAGTCCAATGGACCTAATCCAATAGTTCAGCCCTCTGAGTCTTGCTTCTTTTCTTTTCTTTTTTCTTTTCTTTTCTTTTCTTTTCTCTCCCTCCCTTCCTCCCTCCCTCCCTCCCCCCCTCCCTCTCTCCCTCCCTCCCTTCTTTCTTTCTTTCTTTCTTTCTTTCTTTCTTTCTTTCTTTCTTTCTTTCTTTCTTTCTTTCTTTCTTTCTTTCTTTCTTTCTTTCTTTCTTTTTCTCTTTCTTTCCTTCCTTCCTTCCTTCCTTCCTTCCTTCCTTCTTTCTTTCTTTCTTTCTTTCTCTTTCTTTCTTTCTTTCTTTCTTTCTTTCTTCTTTCTTTTTTTCTCTCTCTTTCTTTTCTTTCTTTCCTTTCTTTCTCTCTCTCTCTCTTTCTTTCCCTCCCTCCCGCCCTCCCTCCCTTCCTTCTAGTCTTTCTTTTTTCTCTTTCTTTTTTCAGGGTCTTGCTATGTTGCCCAAGCTATTCTCAAACATCTGGGCTCAAGCGATCCTCCTGCCTCACCCTCCCCAGCAGCTGGAATTACAGGAGGACTACTGCACCCTGTCTTGTTTTTCTTATACGAACAATGTGTAACTGGATTACATGACCTCCAAGGCATGTTCAGCTCTCACCATCCAAGGACCTGACATCAATCTTTACTGACAGCTCATGATTTTTGTTCTGCATTCCAAAGCATCCTTTACCCCTGTTATAGATTCTTCTGCAGGTATCTGTCCAATCCACAAGCCAACAATCTCTCCTGTCCACATGGTCATACGAAAGGGTCCCAGCATCCATGCAGTCACAGTGTGACCCTGTCCTTCAGTCACAGTTGATTGGTTCTGGAATGGCCCCCTGACCCAGGGTGGGCCAACTAGAGGCCCTTCCCTGGGAATTGAAGCTTAACCTCAAAAGCTTGAAGATAAATGAGGTTCAGTCAAAGCTGTGGCATAGCTACTCTACTCAACCATTCATTTATACTATTTATTGAGAATCTACAAAATGCAGGGCACTGTTCTCATTCAGGGCAGAATGGGTCTCATAGAACTGTCTGGTTTCCTGATGGCTTTCCAGTTCTTAGTCTCAATCCTCCCTGAGGTCTCTTGCATCGCTGCCCTTGGGTTCCCCAGGACATCCCATGGGCCTCATAATAAATTTTCCTTTAGTTAAGTTATTACAATTTGTTGGCATCTTACTTCCAATGGAAAGAGTTTTAACTCTTACCCCTCAACACCAGCAGCTTTTCAAAGCCTACCTGAGCAGTTGCTCTAGTTCTCCTTGTGGTCCTCTTTTTGTTGCCACTTAAGGCAATGGGAGACTCATATCCACTTAGATAAGGGACCCAGAGGTAAGCACTGGGCTTTCTGTGAGTCTTTTTCATAGTTTAAAAAATTTTTTCCAATTAAGCATGGCCACATAAGAAATGAAAGAACAAAGAAAGAACATCTTAAAAAGCACACTTAAAAGGAGGTAAAAGGGCCTCATGCAGTTTCATTAGATAAAACCCAACCTCCTCATGTCAATTTTATCAGAGAAAACATCTTGACAAATCATGTCCTTTAGTCAAAACAAGCTGAGGTCCAAACATATGGAGTAGATAGAAAATAAATTATTTTCAGGAGATTGAGATCCAAACCACAAATTCCAGAAATGCACTTTAAAAGTGCTGCCTATTAGACATGCTAGTTTTAAATTAAATTAATGTTGTAGGGAGAGGGGTAAGGTATGTTTTGATTTATTTATTAGATCATTATCAAGCTTTTCTCTAAGGAGCTCAAGGTATTCCATGCACAAGGATTTTGGAGAAAAGGCTGTTTTAAGAATGTCAGGTTCTGCCAAAGCTATTTCTCCCTAGTTTGCTAGAACCACCCCCTAGTGGGCTTCACACACTGCCCTTTGAAGCTGACAGCTCTGTGTGGCTAACCGCAAGTCTATCCTCTGGTTGAGAAGTACATCAAGTTACTTCAAACACTTCTCAGAACTGCTGGAAAAATGATCTAGTGGGTATACTTGCTCTTCTCCCCAGCTCATCTGGCTTACTTTATGGGACTTGATGGAGCAAACTTGGGAGAGGAAAGTTCCCCAGCTCAGTTTCTTATCAGGAAGTATTTTTAAAAATATTATATTGTTAAAAAACATATGGAAGAATAGCAAACAGGCCTTTTATTGACAAAGCCTTTCTGGGCTCACTTATTTTGAAACCAGCTTAGAAGCATGAGTGATTTTTCCATCCTCTAGATTGGAGGGAAAACTCCTAGGATTAGCCAAACACTGCCTTGCTCAGCTTGACAGCCAAACATATTTAGGTGGAGTACAGATTGTATTTTCCAAAAGTGCCCATGACAATATTTTCTGTTCCTCATGCTCTTGATCCATTTTCAAGAGGAAAAGTGCGTGTCCCCTCCTCTTGAACCTGGGTGGGCATTTGTGATAGCCTTGACAAATAGAGTACAGTGCTGTGGAAGTGATGTTATGTGGCATTTGAGGCTAGGTCATAAAATACAATACATCTGAATCCTGGCTCTCTCCTAGGATGCCTGCCCTTGGAATGCAGCTGCCATGCTGTGAGAAATCTTGGCCACATGAAAAGGCCCACATGGAGAGAAACTGAGGCCCCTCGATGCCAGCTACCACTCGGCGTCTACTTTCTGACTATATGAATGAGCCATCTTGCAGGTGAATCCTTCCCTACTGAGCTCTACCCAGAGTGTAGATTATGAATAAAATGAGTGATCAGTACTATTTTAAATCAATGATCTGGGATGACTTGGTATGTAGCAATAGATAACCAGAACAGGTGGAGATGAAAGACTTCTCTGGACAATCTGATTTCAACAGGAATGCATGCTAAACACTGCAAAGAAAGGAAGTTCAACCAGTTGCAATATGACGCAGATGAAATTCTGACTCTAGTAAAGGCAAAATCCAGCTACCCTGACTTTCCTATCATAGAGGATTTGTTTGATGCAGATAATCTTAGACACACAGGTATTTTTCTTAACTTTCGCTGCCTGCAAAAATGTACATAAATAAGATTGAGTTCTGTGAGCCATTTCCAAGTACCTGGAATGGAGGTCTCCATTTCCCTGCAGTGCTGAGGTTGCCCGAGGAGCAGCAGCAAACCTTTGCAGAGCAGAGCTCTTGCTCAGTTCCCGTACGTGAAGACTGCACTGCTGAAGTACTCCTGGGAGAGTTGTGGGCCTGAGTTGCCTGGGGCTTCTGCCTCTGTGTTGGCCAGGGTCTAGCCCTGCTGGCCTCCATTCCTGTGAAACAGCTTGTGACGGCATGTGTCCAGATTTTCACTGGCTCCCTACAGTTTGCCCCAAGAAGGACAGTCGATGTCTCCCAAGACTGAGGAGCTCAACAAGTTACTCACAGTGGAAAAGGAAAAGAGGAGTCTGGAAAAACACATTACTGCCTTATGAACACGGCTTCCCACAGGCACAGCAAAAGAAGAGCACTCAGCACTCCATGCCTTTCTGACAAGAGCAAATCAGTAGTGAAATATGAAATGTTTGTGACTTTTTGGGGGGGCAGCATATCTATTCTATTCTATTTAATTCACTTGTTCACCCAACAGTTAGGCTTTGTGCCCCAAATACTTGAGCACTGGCTACGTACAGGCATACAAGGGTATTAAAGGTGGCTCTTTTCAGACGTCACAGTGTGGCAGGGATACAAACCCATAAAAATAATAATAGCAAGTACTTATGTAGTACTTACTACGGGCCAGACATTGTTCTGAGTGCTTTATATGCATTCATTTATTTAATTATCATAATAGCCCCCAAAAGTAGATGCTATTATCATCCCTGATCTATAGATGATGAAACTTAGGCACAAAGAGGTTAAGAGATGTGCCCAAGGTCACATAGCTAGTAAATGGTGGAGCTCAGGTTCTAACCCAAATAATGTGACTCCAGATGTGTTACCACTACTCTCTGTTGGCTGTTGTAAACAAACACAGTAGAATGAAGTGATTGCTATTAGCATAGCTTATAGTAGATGGCATGAGGAAGGAATGCATGAAAGAGACAGCTGTCTATCATTTATAAAATGTAACTTAAAAAATAAAGCTGTTAAATAGGAAAGAGCCTCAAATCTCCCTTGGTGTCACTCATTCTCCTATGTGACCACTCTGTGAGGACATTTCTCCTCTTGATTCCTTGAATTTCTCAGTCTACAAAATACACTCGTTTACTTCTGTTCTGTTCTGTTCTCTAGAGAAACAAAGAAGTTGGAAGAAACAGATTTGCACACTGTCAGTGTGGAAAGGAGAAGAGAGCATCAGATTTCTTTGACAGAGGTGGAGGCAGGCTTCCTTCCCCTTGTGCACATCAACGCATGGTGGGCGAGGCAAGAGCGAGTGGGCTGCTGCTTCTTTGGGGTTACCTACAGATGAAGCAATGACCAGCTTTGCCTTGCTTAGTAGCTGCTGGAAAGGAGGGTCAGGGCCTCCTCTGAGGGTCACTGGAGTTGAGTGATTGGGGCTGCTACCTTGCAACCCCTGTGAAACTGAGATAGAAGCTTTTGGCTTAAGAGCAGTAGTTGGAAAGAGGAACCAGTGCCTTGGAGCTGTGCTGCTTTCTGAATAAGGACTAAAACAGGTCCACCCTGACCACCCTCCCAACTTTTGGTGAGACTCTGCTGTTTGTAAGGCCTATACAGGTACCGACCACTGAGGATGCAGAAAAGAAAAGAATCAGCTTTCTGATTCTCACGGTGATAGCGTTCACATTCTTTTGATAAGAAAACATTTAAATAATGCGTGTGTATCTATGTGCGACTGGGTTGTGTTATTTTATCTTGCTAGATGCAGTGAACTCTGATCTAGTCTGTTCTGTTCTTTTTCAGTAAAACATGCTGTTCAAAACCATTGGACTGATATCTTGATCCACTAATGTGCAGTGAATCAAGTTGTGCAGTTAGGAAAACACTAGTCTGAAGAAAAACAGTCTGGAGAAAGGTACCTAATATGTATAGACACAAAACAGTATATGACTGCAGCTACAAAAGTATGAACAAAATGTATAGAGCCCTGAAGAAGCCACGTGGGGCCTGGACAATGTTCTCCTGTGTTCCTTCCATCACCTGCTGTGAGGGCACACACTCTACACCCCACGGGAGTAACTGCTGGCTCTGTTACCCAGCGCATCTCTCACCAGCCTCTCAATCTGCCCTCATCCCCGTACAGTCTATAGACCCTGTTTCTGGGTGTCCCTGTGTCAGCACTATCACGAAACCATCTTTGAGTTCAGAGATAGGGAAGGGATGGATGAGCAGCTCAGCTAGAGCCTTTCAGGCTCTAGAATTCTCCCATTTCTACAGCAGCACCCTGAGCACGGGAAGGATTCCACATTGATAACTTTATTCAGCAGAATTTGCCTTTTCGTGTCTTTCTGGCTCAGCACTGGTGGGTCTTGAGTGAGAAGGGGAGGAGGGAGCAGATTCCAGAAGAACAAAGCAGGGCAGCAAGTGACAAGAAAGAAATGAGCAATAACTGTTGGTAGCTAATACACAATGAAGATGCAATGTGTAGAGGCAACTCAACTCCAATGCACACACTTATTCTCCTGGGGAGTGCTGCCAATGAGTCCCAGGGCCAAGTCCCAGAGATGCAGATGAGGTAGCAGCAGATGACCCTCGAGGGAGCTCATTCACACTGGCTGTCTCGATGACCAGCCCAGGCATAGATTTTATTCATGAGCTGGATAGATGCTGAAAAGGGAGAGCAGTTGTGCTAATGAGTAACCACGAAGGAAACCAGAATGAATGACATATGAGTACATGAATACTTAACTTCCAAGAAAATGCCTGGCAGCCTCCTGGAGCCAAGAAATGTGGTTAAGAGCTAGGCTTTGGAATACGAGTGACCTTGGGACAAATTCTGGTGTCACTATTTCCTGTGTGCTCTTAGGAAAATGCCTGAGAACAGGGGAGAGTAAGACCCCATCTCAGCCTTCTGGAGGTTCACATCTACTGCGTAACCTTTCTGGGCCTCAGTTTCCTCACTGGTAAACAGGGATAATGATAGGACCTACATTCTAAGGCTGTCATGAGGATCAATATCAGAATGAATGGTAAGAGCCTGGCTGAACCATGGTACACACTGATCACAGGTTCTCTGTATAACTTGGGAGAGTAAGAGGTGATGGAAAACAACACGAAGGAGGCTGGTGAATGGTTATAGCCATGTTAGACTCCATCTGCATCTTGCATCCTCCTCTGGAGGGCCTTCAAGCAGAGTGGTAGACATCTTCTCTTGATGGCTTCACTTCTATCTCAAAGAAGTAGCTCTTTGGGAAATTACAGTCAGTGTCTCAAAGCCCTCCTGGGTGTTCCTCTTTAAGTTCATTCCAATTTTGTTCAAACCCTAACACATACACCAGAGGTAACTCTTTGCTGTACCATGTGGAGTGGTAGGAGGGTTCAGCCACGGAGAAGGCCCATTTAGAAAACAAACAAAATGACTCTCCTTTGGGGGCTGGAGTGGAGAGGGCTTTGTTGCCAGCCCACCAGGACTCTCCCCACCCCCTATAGACAGATGAGATGCCCTGGCAACTGAGAGCTGGGGCCTCACAGCTAAAGGCTGAGGAATGGATCCTGACAGCTGCTGGGGGGAACTGGGGGAACACAAATTCCTTTTTCTTAAATCCATTACTTGGAAACCTCCCTCTGAGATCAGTCTTAAGCTGGCGGAGCATTTCGTCATGAGCCCTAACACTGGGGGTTTGAAATGGAGAGAAACACAATAGCCCAGTGCTGGCCCAGGACGGTTCTAAACATCTTCCTAGGTGGAGCCTGCTTGAGGACAGTGGAGCAGGAAGCGATGTAGAAAACACTCTGCAGTGTTTGAAAGGATCATTAAAAAATAAACTCCAAAATAAACACGATCAACAACAACAAGAACAACAAGTGACACTCTTGTTTCATGAAACAGTGACAGAAAATGCAGGTGGATACTCCTTACACAACACAACTATGTTCTATAATCTATTCTATATTCTCCTCAGGAAGGATTGTAAAGTCCATTAGTGTATTAAAGGCACTGTGATGTTGGACTACAAAGAAACAACCAAATTTGTTGTTTAAGCCAGTGTTTCTGGAACATATTTGATCAAAGATCCCTTTGGCTAATAAACAGTTATTTTTGTGGAACATCTGTGGACAAAGAGCAGAGTTAGGGCCTCCTGTCACCTACACTGCAACTCTCCGAGTGCAGGTGGGGTGGAGCCTTCATTTGTACCCTTGGTCAGACCCCCCTCTACAGGGTCTGACTGTACCACAGACACAGCAGCCTGTCTGGGAGAGGGCACATGGGAATTGGGCCATCCTCAGACCTTACTAACCAGGCTCTGAAAGTCCAGACTTGTTATTTTAGTCTCTCTTCAGGGTAAAGCCACGCCTGTGAATGAAGGAAGAGAATGCTCAAGTGGAAAATGTTGGAAACTGTGTCTACTCTGGGAGTTTCTATACCAACTAGCCACCATGAAGGGCTACTCAGGATAGGGAGACACTGACCAATTCTGGGCCTACTTATACCAACTCAGAAGTCCCTAAACACTTTGAAGAAGCTGACTGCACTGCTTTATTAAAAAATATAGAAGGAAAATGCACAACCAGGCGCTGCAACAGAAGTTGCTGAAAATTGGGAAGAGCAGGAAGGAGACCTGCAGGTCCGCTCCAGCAGGTTCACTGCTTGGTTTAGAGTCTGATTGTCTGGCATCTGTCCTCTGGCTTTTGGAGTGGAACAGTTTTCCTGGAATATGCATTTATTGAACTCTGAAAGGCCAGATCTCTTAGGTAGATTAATTCATGATTTCAAAGATGCTTTGATGCTGGCAAAACATTCTGTTACTTCCAAGAGTTATTACAAGTGAAATCCTGGCATGGACTGAGAGGTCAGCCTGTAATCTTATTGAAATCTTTTTAGATTTAGAAACTCTACAGTAGGTTAAAAATAGATCACATTTGTGTACTTTTTCCTCCTTTCATCCCCACTTCAAGGGCTGGTCAGTCATTTTGACCCACCCCAGATATGAGCCAGAAAAATTCTGGCACTTGTCACCTAGGAGTCTGCCAGTCCAAAAGTCATTTCCAAGTGGGTTTTGACGTGATGCTAGCCATAGGACTGAGCAGAGCCACTCATCATCCTATATAATCAGTTCTAGAATTAAGAGCAAAGGGCTGTCACTAAGACCGGTGTGTGCTATGTGGATTCATTTTAAGTGAAAACATAGACTGCAAGGAGGAGAGTTTCAATAGTGCTGTCCCAGAGAGCTTGTGTCCTCCACCTTAGACCACACGTGCTGACCAGAAAAGACCATAGTGCTCAGGTCAGAAGAAGCAGTATGAGGCTAGCAGGTCAGGCTGCTTGTAATCAAAAGATAAAGATTGCCCTTGATTTTAGAAGAGCCAAAATACCAAATGTTATCTGTGTGGTGCTGGCTAGGGTTAACAGGGTGCCAGCATTTTCATGCCCAGCAAAGAGAACATTTCTATATTCAGGATTACATCTTCATGGTTACTTTACCTTCATGAACATGCTAAATCCAGTTTTAAGGAGATCAGTGAGACCTGAAGACATGTGTTCAATATCAATGGAATCTGGCCTCTCGGGATGAAATATTTCCTCCACAACTTGCTTCAACAATGGCTTATAAGATGCCTGGAAAGACAAAATACTGTGAGTAAAGGGATTGTTTGGTTTGTCTGGAGAGAGTACAGCTTTATCTGTAATGAAGAAAGCAAAGCAAGTTTATTTTGATACTCAGCAATAGCTATGATGTGTGTGTGTGTGTGTGTGTGTGTGTGTGTGTGTGTGTGTGTGTATCAGAGAAAAGACAATATGACAACATTGGGTTTTAAAATAAACTTTCACCCAATGCTTTAGCATGCTTTTCTGCTTCTCATGTTCCCTTCTACAAGCAAATACATCTTACCAGAGCTACAATCATACTATGACTAATTTTTCTATTTAAAGTGACAATTTTATGCGTGAAGTATACTGAGAAACAAAGTACTGTCATTTGATACAGACATGAAGATGGTCTCCAGTTTTTCCTGAATATTCTTAGAATTATGCTGTCTTCTGCTAGGAACTCCAATGTTATTTACAATGTGCTGTCAATAACCAAGCTTAAAGCAATCCCTCTTCCTTCCACAGAGCTCAACTCCCAAGTATGACCTGGCCAGGAAAAGAAGCTAAGATGACATAGAGGAATCTGACAAAGGTCAGAAAGCAGACTACATGGTATCATAAGAATTTCAATAGAATTAGGGAGATGTTAGTTTGCAACAACTTCTACAGTTTGATAAGTGCTGCTAAATGCCTTCCTTTTCTGTGACCTGAATAACCCATCCATGTTTAGGTTATATTGGGAGCCAGCTGCCTTATTGACCCGGCACTTTCTGAGCTGTTTTTCTCCACCTCTTTCCTTAGCTCTTGTTACCAAGTTCTTCCTGTTTTCTTTTCCCACTTGGTGCACCACCTTCCTCCCAATCCTCCAGTCAGATATGGCACGAAGTCTGGGGCATGAAGGGCAAAGGAGGAAGGAATATCTTCTCTCAATGCACTCTCTGATCTATTATAGCTTCAGTAAAACCAGTTTCTAACAAGGCACAGTTGAGGCATATCCTGTATTAAACTCTCTCTTTGATTGGACAAATATGTGACTTGTCTGTAGCAACTGTCTAGAATACTTAGTGTACTGACCTCATTCCTGGCTTCATATTGCTTTTCTTCCAGTCATTTTTTTTACTCAAATTTTCCCTTTCCAATTTTCTTATTTAAAATAGCTTAGAAATAAAGCAAGGTATAAACCATCAAAATCATAACCATTCAGCAGGAATATAGCCGGCATCTTTCCCAGGGATAAGATGCAGGGAAAACTAGCATCTTCTCACTTGGGGATACCAACTCTTTTACGTTTATTAGTCAAACAGAGCATTGTTTGTCCAGAGATCTCATGGTTAAATGATCATGAAGGGCAAGGCAATGAACAGAAACACGGTCAGACAGGAATATTTTGAAAACTATGGATCCACCTTGCTCATAAAGAAATTGCAACTAAAGCTATGCCAAGATGGATTTTTTTTTTTTTAATCAGACTATCAAAACTCCAAAAGTTTGAAAATACACTCTTTTGATGAGGCCATGGGGTCACAGGCCCTCTAACACATTGCTGGTGGGAGGGTTAATTGTTACAATCAATGCAGAGAGCAAGTCGATAATACCTATTAATATCACAGATGCATTTGACATAGCAATCCCACTCCTAGTCATTTATTCTTTGCATATGCTCTTGTATGCAAATGAGATCCAAAAAGGCTGTTTATTGTTTGTAGTACCAAGATTAGAAGTCACCCAAGCGCCATCAGTAGGGAGCTGTTTAATAAATGGGGTGCATCCACAGGGAGAAATGCCATGAAAGAGAAGAGGAAAGCTCTGTGCTTGTGAGGCAGAAACAAGGCACAGAATAGTGTGTGAATGAAAAAAGCAAGGTGAGGAACACGGTGTATGATGGGCTAGAATCTGTGTAAAAAGTGGCAGGGGGAATATGGAAGTTTATGTTTGCTGAAATATGCAAAAATAAACTCTGGTGTGAAACATAGTAACTATCAGCAGCAACGATTATGGGGTGGCACACCAAGCAAGGGAGAAAGGTGAGAGGAAGACTTTGTATTGTTTATTTATTTATTTATTTATTTATTTACAGCACAGTTTAAAACACCACTACAGACAGCAAGAATGATCCCATTTTAATTGTTAAAAATTAATAAATTCTTTATGCATGAAAAAGAGATTGAGGTAAAGCACACCAAAATGTTATTTAGGGTTATCTCTAGGTTCAGGAAGTAGGAGACATTTATTTTATTTTTCCAAATTTTCCAAAATTAAGAGGTCCACTTCCAGAATCATAAGAAAATTTAATAAATATTATTTTAAATGTAAAAAAAGGGCCATGGAGTGGCCTCTGAATCCTGCAAATACTCTTCCCTGAGTAAATTGTTTTGAATCCTCTTCTATTACCTTAGCCTTTCTGGACATTGACTCTCTTAAACTTTCATCTCTTTAAAGCTTCTCCACAAGAAGTTGTTTGGCCAATAATCTGATACCCTATCAGCACTATCATCAAATAATAATTGATCTCTTCCTTGGTAATAGACTTCAATCTTTAGCCATGCACATTACCAGCTGGCTAAAAGACTACATTCTCCAGCCTTCCTTACAGCTGAGTATAGCCATGCAATTAAGGTCTGGGCAAATAGGGTAATGTGAGAATTTCAAAAGTCTCCTTTTTAAAATGGAAGGATATGCTTTTCTCCTTTCCTCTGCTCTGCTGGCTAGAATGTAGAAGTGAAGCCTGGAGCTCCAGCAGCCATCTTGGAAGACAGGGCATTCGTTAGAGATGGTGAAGCAAAGAGCTAGAGAAAACTTGGTAAGGGATGATTTATGGAGTCACTATCACCATAACATGGACAGGCTAAATTAGTGCCTACTTTACATGTCACCATAAAACCTTGTATGTTTAAGCCACTATTTTTCAGATCTCTGTTACTTGTAACTGAATGGAATTCTGATAGAAAGCATGAAGGGAATATAAAGATATAAAAGGACATTTCCTCCTTCCAGAAGCTTACAGTTATTTATTAATCTATTAAAACTCATTATATAAAATAACTTTAAGCAGAATCACAGAGAAATACACATAGGCTTTCATATTTAAGAGAGAAGAAAATATACCCCTGATATGGTTTGGCTGTGTCCCTACCCAAATCTCATTTTGAATTATAGCTCCCATAATCCCCACATGTAGCAGGAGGGACCTGGTGGGAGGTGGTTTAGTCATGGGGGGCAGTTACACTTATGCTGTTCTCATGATAGTGGGAGAGTTCTTATCAGATCCAATGGTTTTACAAGGGGCTTTTCCCCCTTTTGCTCAGCACTTCTCCTTGATGCTGCTGTGAAGAAGAGCATGTTTGCTTCCCCTTCTGCCATGATTGTAAGTTTCCTGAGGCCTCCCCAGCCCTGTGGAACTGTGAGTCAATTAAACCTCTTTTCTTTATAAATTACCCAGTCTTGGGAATGTCTTTATTAGCAGCATGAGAACGGACTAATGCAACCCCTTAACCTACAAAAAAATAAAAAAGATTGTTATTCTCCATAAGATGCACTGTACAAAAAGGAAGAGTAGTGATTCTGGAAAACAGATCATACACAGCACAAAGGTGGCTCTGTAATTAAGCAAAAACACTATACTCTGTACCTCCTCTGTCCAAGGCACAGTGTACCTGGGGTGATAGGATTTGTTCTCAGGGGTTCTGTGACCCCAGTGTAGACTGGGAGACAGGGGAAGGCAGGAGTTATGGAGGGATTGGGGAAAGTAGGGACACTAGGATCACTCTCTCTCTTTCCCTTGCTCCACTTTTGACTAAATTTTGGGGAATGAAACATCCAGGAGAAAAATGCCCGCTGAGCTAGGTTCTCCTTGGGGGTAGTGAGCAGAGATTCAGAAGTGCTGTTTTCTTAACCTCTTCATTCTTAAGACTTTGTGATTGCTCTGTGCTACATTGGGAATGTTGAAAATCTTTTCTTTTTTATTTTTTAAGGTATGTAGGTGAACATTTATTTAGCAGAAGAAAGGAAACTATGATTTAAAATACAGAAAAGTAACAGCAAACACATCACATAATCCAGAAAAAGAACATAAATGCTTTTATTAATTAATTGCCTGACCTACCTCTTTGATACTCATTTCTTACATTTTTTGGTTGCATTCTCTCTCATCATCTTTTCATATAACAATAATTTTGAAATAACATTTTCTATGAAAATGTGGTCGTTATTAAGCTATTGTCTCTCAACTCCAAACCCTCTCTTCTAGACTCAGTTCTGTGATGCTGGGCTGAGATTCTGAAAACCACTTTTGTGCTTTGTCAGCTGGGTCTGTTAGACTCTGCCGATAGGAGGCACTAGAGGGAGACTGGAACGCAGGAAAAACAAGCAGGAACTTGCTTCTCCTGTTTATTTGCAATTCCTGCCACCATTACCCTGGCAATGGCCTCTCACCACTTGAAGCTACCCCTCCTCTAGACTTTTAAGTCATAGGATTTCATAAATTACCTTTCTTTTTTTTTTCAAGCTAAAAGTGGCATTTTATTTAGTAAACAATCAGATTGTTTATATACAATAATATACTATTATAGCATAATGCTATAATAGTAACAGAAGCTGATTAAGTCTACAAACAAAACAAAACACAACAAATCTTGAACACTGACAAAAACAGGTACAGATATTAACAGAAAAGATGAGATAATGAACATTGTAAAAATTTATTCTAAAATGTATTTATTCCATTAAAACAATGCCGTAGAGGATGAGAGGGACACTCTGGTTTAATATTTTACCTAAAAGCATTAAGATTTTAAAAAAATACATAAATGGGAAAAAAGGAGAGGGGCAAGAATCAGGGGCTAGAAAGGCAGAAAAAAATTACCTATCTTGTTTCAGCTTTTTAGAACTTTTTTCTTTACCTATTTTTAATTGTAACCAAAAGCATAGTAAATGATGTAAATATTAATTTATAGAGAAGTTGATAGGTTTTCCTACTTGAATGGGAATATGCGGGGAAAAAAACCCTCTAAATTTTCTACTGAAAGAAC